TGTGCTGCGCCAACACACAGCTGTCCTTGCATCATAAAAATATCTGATTTGGGCCGGTTCATGTGACACCGCAAGAGAGTCACTGTGGAGGGAAGCAGTGAGGAGCAGACAAGAGAGGACCCGATCACAACAATACCTCACAGTATACACTAGATCTGTTTTGGAAGCACCAATTGAACATTGAGACATATTTCAAAGTCTATCAGTTGTATTGTTTTATGAAGAGGCCTTTCTTGTTTTGCAGGAGTACACAGCCGTATACAGTAGTTTTGTACATTTGCCCGCTGATGGTACAAGCTTTTCTCTATCATGTATCAGATGCAGTGAGCATTAGACATTAGTTTATAATGAGGACTGTACGACACGCATGCACCGAATTCATCATCTTTCGTGTTGCAATTTGGCACCGGAACATGTACAGTAAGCAGGTGCATATCTTCACTATTTCAATACAGTATTCCTGGATTGAAACTTTCTCAACTCTGGCACAAAACAGTTTCATGAGGTATTAACAGTTGTATTCATTATCTGTACATTTTATTTATTGATTTATATATCTATTTGTTGCAAAGTGTGGCATTTTCCCATCAATATAATTCTCACAACATTTAGATAAATTAGATAAGTTTACATATTGCAGGATGAGATGAGAATAAATGAGCAGGGTGTTTTTATTGGCCTCTATTGAGAAATACCGAGCTTAGCGAGTGATACAGCCCAAGCAACAGTGGAGAGGGGTGTGCCGTGTCCACTTTCAGGCCAGTGCATGTATCATTATGGTCTGTGCAACACAGTTACTCAGGATTTGAGGAAAGACAAGAATTGTCCACTATCTACTAATGGTGAATTGGAAATAGGGTAAACCTTTTAAAGAGATTATTCTCATGTAAAGCCTGACCATGTCCAGCTCCTTGAGTCTGCTACGTTCTGTATTACAAAAATATACTCTGTGCCTGTGTAATTCTCACTCTTTGATATTTTTTTATAAGGAGTGGAAGCCAGTGCTCTAAAGGTGCTTTCGTGTTCAATATTTTTTTGTTTGCTGCTTTGTTTCTGGTTCTTTTGAAAGAGCTGAGCTGAAAGTGGCCAGACACACAACCGTCTGTGGACAATAAAACTGGTCACCACTGCACTGATGGTGTGAAAGTGCGTATACAGCCGTTTCCTCACAGTAAAGCATCAACACAGGTGACAGACTTTCACTTACCAACAAACTCAGCTGCACAAGCAGAACAACATTGACTCATAAAAAAATGTTTTTTACACAGTTTCAAAGCTGTCAGTCCTTTTCACACATTTAGTTTTAGAAACATACTGAAAAGAGATTCTCAGTAGTAGTCTGTCTTACAGACGGAATTTAGTCCCATTGACCAACTCATCTGTCCCGAGAAAGAGCAGAACAACAAACAACTTGGTTCACAAAAGCATCATCAACAACATCAAAAACATCATGAGTGTAGCACATCACGCTTTGTCTTTGATCGTACAATTTGCGTAATTTACATTCCACATATGGATAGATTCCTGCAGGGATTGTCTTCTGTCTTTGCTAAGAGTTTGTGTTCTGTACAGTTGTATGAAAGTGGTATTGAGTGGAGAGGGAGTTCTAGAACAGGGTAAGAATGGAGCAGACCTGCGGATGGTTCCCTGGCTGAGAGTTATGTCTCATTGTGGTTTAGAGATTTGCCACATAAAGCGACTTCACATTTGGGTTTATTGTAAACGTTGAAAAGTTTATCCTTAGACAGATGTAGGGCTGTGATTTATTTGATTCACTGATTAGTTGTTTGGATCACAAAAGATTCGTGAAAATGGGAATTCTATATAGTTTGTTCAAGACAAATGTAGAGTGAAGCCACAAGAAAAGTCTTCAGAAAGGTGAGTTTAAACAAAATGAGTTTGTTTAAGCTACATTTTTTACACTTTTACATTTCCTTCTACAGTGATTACAGCTTTGTCTCAGTCATAAAAGCTTTTCACATGATGTTAATATCTGTGAATAGTTCATAATCATGAATCATTTACTTAAATTCGTCAACAACTATTTTAATAATCCATTTGCTGAAATGATATAAATAAATTTGTTACAGCCCTAGACAAATGTTTTAGGAGGTGATGAGTGGATGAAAGATGTGAGTGACAAAGTGAACATAGTACATGATGTGACCATACTTGTGAAGATGAACAAACAGATCATTTACAGAAGGTAAAAGCTAAGATGGAGAATGAGTTAAATTCCACTAAGTGAAGATGACGTGTGTGGGATTGAGGAGCATATGACTTTTGGTCTGTCTTTTTGCTGGTGCTGCTTATCATGGCTGAAGGCAGTGTGCTCTGAGCTGCTGGTGTGGATTATTTTAAGGTGATCATTTGGCTGAAGGAGACAAACAGGCTGACAATGTGCTGCCAGCTCAAACCGGTTTGAATTAGAGCTTTACATGGAACACCACAGATGTAATATACATTTTACCCTAAACCTTCTACATTACTCCCCATGCCATCACACAGTGATGAGAAAATATTGTTTTAGTGCAACTAAATATAATAGTAGTTGCCATGTCGCAGCAATCTTGTGATACTTGAATCTAATAATGACTTACCCCATTACCCGCATGAATCATATAATATTAGATTATGGTCCTTTAGTGCTAAATGAATGTTCCATGAAGCACTTACAGATTTGTGAATTTAAAAGTTGCTATGGTTGGCTATTTCTGGTGAATATTGATCATAAGGCAAACAAACGTCATAAAGTACAATGACACCGGGCATTTAGATGATCTGTCAGATCGGATTTGAGCTGGCAGGATTGTATTCATGAGGTGTGATGCCACATATAGAACTCTATATTTTTTGTATATATAAAGAGAATAAATAAGCTTTATAATACAGTATAATATATTTATATATATATATATATATATATATGTAGTGAACAAAAGACCTCTGAGAGGCACATTACTAAGCCAGCAGTTCCTGAGCCATGACCTGTGCAGCATGGCTCTCATTCACAGTGATAGAGTGCAGTCAGGACACAGGCTGCTGCACTACTTCATCATCCTATTGCTGAATTCTGCTGTGTAGCTGTAAATCCCTGTACTAACCCTGCAACAGAAATGCTAACACTGAGATACATGGTAACAGCATGTCCAGAGAGGAGCCACACTGACACTTAACACAGGTAGAGTCAGGGGCCATGTGAAAAGGGAGGGCCTCGGGTTACAGACATTGTGGTTTTAGTGCAACTGAAAAACCTGATTGTTTTGTAGTGGATGGCATATTAGATATGGTTGGTGTTCAGCAGTGTAGAATCCGGATTGTAAATGCATGGGATGAGAAGGCGCTTGGAGCTCTGATTTCATCTCCATCTCTTATTTCTTATGGTTGAGGGACCAAAACTGAATGAGTGTCTTGACTTTTCAAGGATGAAGCTGATCCCTGCTGAGTTCTTCCAAGTCAACACTATAGTTAATCGGCCTGAGGTCTTTAGACCAAAATGGCTTCCACTGAAGACCCAGCTTCCAGTTATCCATGTCTTTTTGTAGCTTTAATATCAGTCGGCACAAGTTCCTGCTTGCTCCCTGGCCTTAAGGATGAGTGTCAGATCAGAACAGAACAGGTTGCAGTTGGCCCCGTGTGTCAGTGTTGTGGCCGAATGGAGGCCTGGTCCGGGGGGATCTCAAGCTTACATGCACTGAAGAGGACAGGTGAGGTAGACTGTAGCTTTGGGTGGGGTAAGGACACCAGCATCCTGCCAAATGCCACTCATGACTCAAACAGGGGACAGCAGGGAGGTCAGGAGGTACTGATGAGACAGAAGGGCTGCAGCCTGTGTGGTCTACAGTATGAGCAGGGAAACTGAGGAAATGCATCCAAATGAAAGGAAACCATGAATGAGGTAATCAAGCGGAGTGAACAGAGGTATTCTAGCAGGTTTACTTTGACCCACTTTATTGCACCTAGATTGTTGGATTCACCCTAATCTATGTTCATTCTATATTCAATCTGGTTTATGCACAAAGAGATAACCATAATCATAGTATAAAAATCTTACTTTGAAATTTGATGTTGCTCATTTTGTTTCACAAGAATATAGAGCTGTTTGTCTCTTGCCAAAACACGGATTATCAATAGATTATTTTTTAGACATAATTATTTGAAAGTTTTTGTCGTAAACGCTATGTATTCCTCGGGTGAGATCTGCACGATTACAAATGTACATACACATGCGATGGAACAGGGGAGGTAGGAGTACACAAAAGGCCAGTACATGCAGCTGTATCTGGACATGGCTCCAACAGAGACGTGACAGCTCTGTTCAGAGAGAGATGCTGGGTGTTGGACATTTAGGCCAGCCTTGTGTTTGCATTAGTAAAGACGAGGCGCCACACTGTTGGGTCAGAGTGTGGTTTGCATATTGAAAACACGGCAGTGTGAATGGTCCGTAATCCAGCGGTTTATATACATATACATATATATATACATATATATATATATATATATATATATATATATATATATATATATATATATATATATATATATATATATATATATATATATATATATATATATATATATATATATATATATATATATATATATATATATATATATATATATATATATATATATATATATATATATACACATATACATATATATATATATATATATATATATATATATATATATATATGTGGATTTATTTATAATTAACTTTAGTTGAGTCCTCTAACTCTTATAAAGTTCCATGAATCTATCTTTTGTTTGTTTCAATTACAATTTTGAAAAAATAAAGAATTAAATAAATACCATATATTCTGTTTGTAATATACATACTGAAATGTTCAGTCAAATTAAAAACTATTAAAAAAACAAAATGTGAGATTTTTGTTCAGGTTATTCCAACAACCATTCATTTACATTTTTTTTGCAGTGTATTTGTGGTCTGGTGAGTTTGTTGTGTTTCATCCTAAGTCCAGGCTTGTGGTTTACAGTTAGACTTCCTGGTCCTCAAACACCTCGAGGAAGAGTGGTGGAAAGAGTTCGTTGGGACACTCCACCTTCATGTGGAGGAAGCGGCTGGCGTGGCATGCTCCGATCATGCGCAGGTCCGTCACCTTCATCAGCAGCTTAGGCCAGAAGTGGGGAATGTTGTGCTTTCTGTAGTTGATGTAGTGTTCAAACGCCAGCAGGAAGGCCTCCTGACACTGCTCGATCTTGTCCATGCTGGTCAGTCCCGAGCGGTCTATACAACAAAGTCAGGTCAGCTTCACTTATATCTATAATGTTGCTTTCAAAGAACAGCCGACAAGCATCGCAGTGCCATATGTGCACAAGAAGGGATTAAATCATTCACAGTTATAACAGTGTGACAGAGTGAGTGCTTTTCAATCTAAGTCAACCATAAACTATCCCATTATTTTACTTTATATATGACATAACAGATACAGTATGTGCTTGCTTCTCTGTGGGACTAATGAATGTTCAGCTTTTTGGTGAACATTGCATCTCTTTGTGTACATTGTGGGTAACTCAAGAAGATTTTTAACGTTAAGATTTTCAACTCTTTGGTCAGGGGAAGTAATTGTAGCCTTTCCTAAATGTGTTGGATGTGTGATCAATGATAATAGTAAGTAAGTAGTAAGTAAGTAATGTTTTTTCATATAGCAAATTTTACAGACCAAGGTCACCCATAGAGCTTTACAATGTTCAGAGTTCAGATATTGTTCCAATCATTCCACACACGGTGATGACGGAAGCGAGTTGCCAAACACACTGGACCATCAGCCCCCAACCAACACCATCCATTCACTCTCTCATTTACATTCATACCTATTGTGCATGTTTTTACTGGTAGGGGAAACCGGAGCACCCGGAGGAAACCTACCCAGACACGGGAAGAACATACAAACTCCACTCAGAAAAGCCCTGTTCCGACCGGGATTTGAACCCAGGACCTTCTTGCTGAGAGATGAGAGTGCTATCCACTCAGCCACCTTGCCGCCCATAAATAATAATTATGTATTATTATATAATTAATAATAAACAAACTTATTTATATAACTTTTTCCATGATCCGGATGCTCACTACAATTACAGACTGACAGGAAACAAAAAGGTAAATGTATGTCGTCCCAAACGTTGAATTCTATCAAACACAAGCTGTTAGTGTTTCATAGAATCGACCTGCTCTCAAACCCTGCACCTGTCGCTGTTATAGTGGGTGAGTGAGTGAGTGAGTGAGTGAGTGAGTTAGTTAGTTAGTTAAGTAAGTAATCTTTATATACCGCCTTTCACAGACCAGAGTCCCAAAGTGGTTTACAATTGTGGCCATTAGTCCTCTCAGCCCACACAGAGATGGGAGTGGGGTATATTGACTTTATATCCTCATGTTATCATTTATTGTTGGGACAAATGTGTGGAGTGAAGAGTGAAGCAGAGTGTTGTTTGGAGCCTTTGACCAGTAGCCTCATCCATACATTATTTATACATGCCATTAAATATTTCACTGTGTGTTTGCCAGGATCCTTAGTGCTTGGCTTATATACAAGAAGGTGAGCAGAAAATTATGGGGACCTTTGAAAATCCATACTATACGCTGGTGCAACATTCCACCTAATCATAAACATAATTATAATTAATAAATCTCAGAAGATGTAGGGTTTACTCCTGGGTTAGAAGAGAAGATAGAATAAAGAGCACATAGGAGTTATACAAATCAAGTCTCTATTTGCAACAATATGTGCAAATAGAGACTTGACATGGAAAAGAGTAGCATACATACGCACCTCTTTTTTTGTTTCCTTCTATTTTTTTTTAGCTTTTTTCAGCTTTCATTTAACAATGGCTTTCTATTCATCACTTTTCCATAAAGGCCAGCTTTGTTCAGTGCATGACTAATACTTGTCTCATGTACAGATTCCTCTAGCTGAGCTGTGGATGTCTGCAGCTCCTACAGAGTTACCATGGTCCTCTTGTCTGCATCTCTGATTAGTGACCTGTGAGTTTGGCGGACGGTATTTTAGTTCTGGATGATGAATGAACCTCTGCACTATGCTTTAAACATCTCCACAACTTCATGATCCATTTTAGTGACCAATCTCTCTTATAAAACCATCACAGAACAATTGTATTTATACTGACTTCTCAAGAATCAAGTAAAGTTTTGATTTCACATCACAACTGTTGGGCTGTCATAAAACTAACATCTTAATGTTTGTGGTTGTGACGTGACTAATGTGGAAAAAGTTCATGGGGTATGGAGTTTTTTTCCAAGGCGCCATATACATATAGCATAACAAACAAAAGACAAATATTCAATAACCAACACCAATTATGCCTCTATATCTATGTTTCAGTCCCTAAGATATTTTTAAAAATCTAATTTACAGACATCAGAAAGTCAGAGCAAGCTTCTTGTAAAAATACAGACCTGAGCTCATGAGCAACACAGCTTGCATCAGCGCCACCTCTGTGTCGTCCAAGTTGAACTGGGCCAAGCTTTTTCCCAAATCAAAGATGGCGTCTGACACAACTCCCAGTCCACCGTTTTTCAACTGCTCCCTCTTCACTGCCATCTCTCCATTGAGCGTCAGCGTCTCACTCTCCGGGTCATAACGCACAGCGGCTCGAAGCGACATAATCTCCATACAGCAACCCTTCAGGAGGATTATCTGGTCCTCGCACGGCAACTACAACACAAGACGGGATTTTTGTTGTTGTTAGAAAAGATATGTTTGGCTAATGTTGTAGTGCTCAGGCCAGAACAGAGCCCTGGACATCTGTTTGTGCAAACATGTGTTTGGATGTAGATGTATGCACATATAAACAGACGAGAAAAGAAGGGATTGGATTAAAATAAGCTTTTTGCTTCGACAGTCCCTTTTTTCAACCATGCACAGGTGTTCAACATTTCCTCTGTGAATAATTGTTTGTATATCTTGATCATGTTTCAAATAAATAAACAAATTAATAAAAATGACTCCAACAACAATGTTTATATTGACTTAATAAAAATCATACTCAGTCAATGCTTCTACATAAAACATGCATGTCGCTCCCCTTCCCCTCAAGGTTCCACCATTTTCACTAGAAATCAGGAATCGAGATCTTATTGCCTTTGATGCATGGGTCCACCATGCATTACGTAATTATCAAAACATTGCATAATACATTTCAATACTTCAGGGATAGAGGCGCTGCTGGTGGATTAGCCGCTGGGTGATGGGATAACGAAGTAAAACTCGAGCAGGAGCAGCTAATGACAGATGAATGTGATGTCATCTGCAGACACACAGGATCCAGAGAGCGCCGCTTGTTACTGAGTGAGAACCAGGACACAAGTTTATGGAGTTCGATGGAGTTAAAGGAAACCGACCTTTAGATCTGTAGTTTTTAGATCCATTCACACCAATTTCTGATTTGAGGATTGTTACGGACCAGGTCCTTGTTTTTGTTTCTCCTTGCCTCCGCCTCCTCAGACCTCCCTCCCACTGACGACTCACTATGCACCTGTGGGTTAATCACCTGGGAGGCATAAAAAGAGCCTGGCTCCAGACCAGTCTCTGTTATGGTGTGGATTTTATTTTTGTATTTTTGTTTTATTTTGACATCTTATCTGTGAATTAGTTTTAGCTTGACTTCCTGTCCTGTTTCCCCTGTCTTGATTGTATGCCCTGCCCTGATGTGTTTCACCTGTGTCTGTGTCTATTTGTACCCTGCGCTCCTCTCCCCTTGTGCTGGTCCATTGTCTTGTCAACGTCCTGTCTTGTCTTGTTCATGTCTCTGTCTGTTTCCGTCCTGTTCCTGGTCCTGTTTTGGTTTTGGATTTTGAGTTGGTTTCATCTGGACTTTTTTTTATCAATAAACCCTTATTTTTGGCATTCCTGCAATTTTGAGTCCTACATCATCTCACCACATGACAGTCTCTCTTCCACTTGGGCCTGGATCCTGCGGCTGCACACCCGTGTGACCTTTTTGTGCATTTATTTATATGTAAATAAACCTTGTTACTTTTTAGACCCCGTTTCCTGTCTATGTTCCACCCCCCGGTTCTTTTTGTGTTACTGAGTCACACTCTCTAGACTTCAACACCTAGTGGCTCGTAATAAGGATAAACAAGACAATGTTTGATATAGTTGTAATGTAGTATAAATAATGATTTTAATAGCCTGTTAATAATCTTATCTCGTCTAATCCAAGCACAAATGTTGTCCTTTTAACAACCTTCCACTGCATACTGTTTGTATGGGTCAATATGAGTTCATCTTCCCATCACTAGTTGGCACCAATGAAGTGGACTAACTGAGTGCTGACGTCACCCATAGTGTTTGCCTAATGTAGAAGAAGCCAATTAGAGCCAACTCGAACAGACTCCATTGGTGGGAATCTCGTAAGATAAAGCTGAATTGCAGAACAGAAATAACCTGATAACTAGACTAAAAAACACAATATTAAAATAAAAAACACCAGGAAAGTGTCAAACCACAGATTTGTAAGATACTGAGTGTGACCAAAACAGTGAGCAAAAGCCCAGAGCCAGTCCCTATTAGCCGTCATTAAGCACTGTCCATCTATATGCAGTCTGTGTTTACTCTGGGTTCAGACACAAGTGTACAGTGGGCGCTGTGCAGGTGTACCTCAGAAAACATGGGCAGCTTCTTGGCAAAGTCCACAACACGGGTGATTGCTGGCGTCATGATCTTTGTGAACTCACTAAAAGCTTCCAGGTCGACCTTATCTCCATCTGAGGTGGGCAACATGGACCCTTGTCCGATGTCGTCCGGCTGTGGATGACATCACATAATGGATCATAAATCTCCTTAAAGAAAGACAGTGATGAGACAACACTGAGACTAAGAACTGAACATTACAAATGTCTTTTCTGAACAAACATGTCACTTTTAAGTCACACAAAACGCAAAGTGACGCAAAAAGCAATTCCCTCTATTATGATTATAGTGAACTACTTACACACAAAATGTATTTAAAAACAATGTCTTATTTAAAGGACAATAGTAATTTATATTATATATCTCTTATCTTAACCGAGATAGTCCTTGTCTCTTATAAAACTAGAAATTCCTGCTTTTCCCATTGGCAAATGTAGAGTTTTTACATGAATGTTGTGGTGGAAAGGGTTGTGTGGGTCGTGGATTACGATGTTGATTTGACAGACTTGGTAACGGTAGTTCCCAGAGGGATTATTAGCTTATGCAGTGACAGGCAGGTTTCACCTGGGTACCAACTATCAAATCGGAAGCTTCATTCTATCCTCCAAAGACATTTTGTCTGAAGAATAAAACGTCTTTGTTCTGTGATCGGTTCTATCCGCCTGGTCACATGCTTCCAAAACACCTTTTCTCAGGGGTGTCATTCCCATGAGCACGTTTTAAATAACTTTTTCTCTTTTTCTTTTTTTTGCATGGAAACCTGACCTTATTGCCAAGGTAAAGAGTACACACGCGCACTCATAGTAACGGCACGAGGGACTGGCTTAAGTCTGCTTTGTCATATTCACATTGTCTTAAATATCGCATAACTTCTTTCATAACCAATATTGAACATGTTTTTTTTTAGTTTGCAGCACAACAATACATTTTTATAATCATAATAGCTATATAATAGCCAATAATTCAGAAAATATCAAGACATAATTATATTTTAATTGCACAATAAAGAAACAAACAGTTGAAATATGATCACAATTGTTCAGATTTATATATTGCCTCTCTGATCTCGCTGATGTTTGCCAGGAGCAGGATTTGAACCTACAACCTTAATATCTGACTTTACCAATAGACTCTCTGTGAACTGTGAAGGATATGATCTTACTTTTATCCAATATTCCACAGAATAATGGTCTTCACTGCGTCTGTGAGCCCTGCCATCAGAAACACTAGCTAGCTTTGACACACTGACACATGAACTTGCACACTGAGCCACACTTAACCACTTCATGGAAACTTGTTAAAGTTTTTCTTTTCCCTTCTGTGGTTAGAACAGATTCATCTCTCTATCTTTTTTTGCAGAAATCTACAAAAGAACAGCACATACGCTGTTTAAATCCTTCTAAGAGCCATGTTCAGAGTGGTCACATGTGATTGATAATCTGTGGCTTGTGGCTGTGGAGGTCGTAGGAATCTTCTGTGCAGTAGTTCTGGTCACAACAATAAGATGAAGAATGACGGTCTTTAAAAGGTGCCATTTTACGCTTTTGGACATATGACTGGTTTAAACATGATTACAGTGATATAGTACCTCAACCTCCAGAGGATGGTAAAGTTGGTGATGGAAGTAATAATCGTTAGGACATTCCATCCCTACAGGACATCTATCAAGGATGGTCAACCACATTCTGTCAAGGATTTTTCTTTTCCATTCTGTGAAGAGTCATGACACTGACACTTTTGTCATTTTAGTTACGTTTGTGCCTATTACTTGTAGCTTACTAGTCAGTAACAAAACATTAGCCTCCATTGAACTTAAAGGCAAAAGCCAATCCTTCAGTGTGTTTATCTGTCTGGTAAATAGTTTCTGAAACCAATACCATGAATTTGCGTTTCTGTTTCCAGGCGGAGCCTTGTGCATTGGTGTTTTTGTGGGCCTCTGTGACCATCCTGATGAGCTCCCACTCAGAGCTGTCGGGCTCCGGCCGCAGGTGCATCATTCGCACCATCTCTTCCTTCTTTCTCTTCTCACGGTTCTGCTCTATCAGCCGCCGCTTGGCCACACGCTTTGAATCATCCAGTACCACTAAAGAAATGGAGAAATGGTCCTCATTAAAAGCCCTTTGTTTGGATGTTTCAGTGTGCTGCAGACTCACAGTCCATGGCCATTCCCACAGAGGTGCACTTCTTAAAGCGACACAGCTGGCACTGGTTTCGAGTGATCTTGTCAATGATGCAGCAGCCTTCATATTTACACGAGTAAGAAGGATGCAGATTCTTCTGAATAGTTCTCCGAAAGAAACCCTGGATGAAGGCAAAACACATAAAATGTAGTCATTAGTGATTAATAATTCTAAAACCAGAACTTTGATCAAACACTTGTTTTGTTTTAACAGCCAGGTCTCAGTTCAACCTTATGCCACATAAGAAACATGCAGTGTACCTTGCAGCCTTCACAGGTGATACAGCGGTAATGATATCCTGTGGCTTTATCCCCGCACACTACACACGGCTCGTCCTTCTCCAAGTAGCTGGGGATGTACCCTGCAACAGAGACACTAAGAGCTATAGGAGCAGAAGGATGAGAAGAGGGGGGAGCGTGCAGAACCACGGGGATGAAGGCAGAGGAGAGTAAAGGAGCTCAGTTATCAAAGTGGAGCCCAAAGACTGTGACTGTGACTCATGACTTCGTCTTGCTCATGAGAAGCTCACAGCACATGGGCAAGATACATATTCAACACGTTTAAAGGTTTGACAGTTTGCCCTCCATTTCTTAAGAGGGGACATGACCTGCACAATCGACTGAGCTTTTGTTATAGTTGGATTCCCCGGTCATTCTCAGTGATGCTGGGTCAAAGGGGCAGGGCTAAGGGACATAAGGCCCTTATGTCCCTGGTGAAGGAGGAAGGACGCAAATCATTTCTTTTATTCAATCGTTTTAGAGCAATATTGAAGTTAGGGGTCATAGATGATCGTATGATAGAGGACAGAATCAGGTTATGACCCCTTTATCCAGTCAGCGATTCACAAATATAAGATGTGAAGGAGAATATAACTGTTGCTTTCAGCGTGTGCATGTGTTAGACCTTGTTGGGCGACTAGTAAACTTAAGGTTCTAAAGTATGAAGTGCTGATGATCCAAGTGTCCCCTTGACTCCATTTTTATTTTTCTGAACTTCGCTAATGTCCCAAAAAATTAGACTAATTAAACAAACAATACATACTTGAATCATAGGCAACGTTGGGGAGGGGCTTGGGTGTGCTCCAGCTACCCCTGATATGGCAAAGCACCCCCAAAAATGCTGTGTTTTGATTTTTATTTAGTGTAAATCTATTTGCAAGATAGTAACACATTCAAACTGTAAAAATAAATATAAATATTACATATGAATCATAAAAAAACAATTTAAAAAAGACAAATAAGCTGAAATATGCACGCAATTACGTACAACGCATTCTATTCTTTGGCTAATGCGCGTGTTATTGCTAGCTTGATTGAGTGATGTGTGTACGGCGCGGAGATGGATGGTTCATCAAAAACGTGCACAGACAGAGGGAAAGAAAGTCAAGCTGTGAGTGCAGTTTCTCATGTCTTTGTCGTTTAAAGAATTATGTGAGAAACAGCAACAAAGACTCTTGGAACCTGACACTAACTGGCAACAAACACTGACAGAACTCGAGCCAACAGAAGGATTGTGTTGTTATGAATACATCTACTGGTAACATGTTTTTCTGTTGTTTTATCTTATTTATTTAACTGGAGCTGTAACGTGCACGTGTGCCAAAAATGTGGCGGTCCGACAATGTTGCCGCATCAGCTGTTGCTTATTTCTTAATATTAGTGTTCTATTAATGTAAGATTCCACATCAACAGGTGAATTCTGCATTTTACCATGCAGGCTCTAAGTTGTGCTGAATGGCTATTAAATACAAACTTGTGTGTTTCCATTGGCTAGACATGATTGTGCGTCATCACGAATTCAAGTGAGCCATCGATGACGTGGTTAGCACCCCCCTTGCACCTGCAAATAAATTATTCTGGTGCCGCCGATGACTTTAAGAAAGAATATATATCTTCTTTTCAAAGCGAGCATTCCCAGAGTTGCAGATGTATTCTGAAGACGTATCATCTTCTATACCGTGTTATTTTCAAGCCTAAAAGCCTTTTGCCGTCACATGCCTTGAAAGACCCTTTGGGATGCACTATGAGTTTTCAGTTTAAAATTCACATTTCATGGAGATTATTCCCTCTATTTTAAACGGTTTGTCAAGGACTGAGATATAACAGATAATTTATTGTCTTGATCATATGATGATTTGATTTTCTTCAAATACAGACTCATGCTGCGCCCAAATGTCCATTATGTCTGGAATTAAAAGTATGAAGTATTAAAAAAATGGATAATTGCTTAGTCAAGAGTTCCCACAAAACCTGTACAGAAAAGGAATAAATGAAAGAGATTATGGCAGTGATCATTGTGATCTGTGCCTAATCCTCATATATTCACAAACATAGCGGTCGAGCTCATCTCGCTGGAGGCAGGTGGAAAAGGCTCAAAGACTGAGTCCTTACCAGACATGCTCTTCACAGAACACTGGCTGTTTTTCCTCTTTCTCTTCGGGACATCAGGCCACCTGCAGACACACAAGAGCAGGGACCGAGATGGATAAATAAGACATTATTATTATCAAATAACATGAACCCAATTCCACCTATTCACAAGATTACACCATGCTGATTTTCATTTGGCTAATCTTTTTAACAACAAAAGAGATTGTACCAAACAGAAAATTCAGATGGATTCGCTACATTAACTTGTGGATTCTTTGTTATTTGGTACTTTTTTATTTTGACTTCAGTTCTCCTTTGGTTTTGTTTTAGTTTTACTTCCTGTCCTGATCCCTTGTGATGATTGTATGCTTTGGACCTTTTATCAATATTATCATTAAACCATATTTTTATGGCCTTCCTGCATTTTGGGTCCTTCCTTAATTTTACCATGTGACAGAGAATGCATATTCATCCAGAACTTTGGCACAATTTGTAGCAATTAGTTAGGTGCATTTGATGTGCAGCGGTTCCACAAAATTATAAAAATTAACCGAATAATACAAGGCCAAGTTCTTCTGTAACTGAATGAAAAGATAGTAAATAATGCCCTCCCTAAAAGAACCATGATCACCAGGACTGTGCTTTCATCCGACTACCCAGACTTAAAGCACTCACTTTCACACATGTCCTACTGAACTAAACCAAGAAAATTGCACATTTTCTTTGCACACACATTTTAGCACCTGGATTAATGAATTACTTCAGTGCCAAAAATGTAAAAAAACAACAACTTTATTTTAATATAACAAAACATTGTGAGAGAAAATAAAAAAAAAGAAAAAGAGAACATAAGGTCGCACAATTAAGTGAACTAATTCCTACAGACAAGGCTCAGATGGAAAGGCTCCAAATACAAACTATAACAATAATAGTGTTGTTTGGTAATGGGCTTTCCAACCTTGTTACCCCTCTCTCTCCCTCACGGCTGTCACATTCACTCTGCTGCTCCTGACTTTGCCCCAAGAGAAAAAACAGTGCTTTTCATGTTCCTTTTTTTCATGGTCCTAATAACATGAAGAGGTTTGAGACAATTATAATTGTTTATACTGTTTTTGTTGCATTCATAGAACTATGTTTTTGCCCTTAATTTTTTCTTGAAGTGGTTAATGCACATGGATAGAAAGAAAAGCAATGTGATAAAAAGGAATCGTTTTCCCAAAGCATCGTTCGCCTCCACTGTGGGCAAAGGTGATGGTTTGAAGGTTTTTGCACATTAGATCACATTAGATCACATTAGATCACATTAGATCACATTAGATCACATTAGATCACATTAGATTTGATGGTCATAATAGGATCAGGCAGAGCAGCGAACACACATCTGTCTCACCTCCAGTTTGTGCATCACATAAATACATTCACTCTCGTCTTTATACATACACCACCCATACACCACCCATACACCATCCATACACCACCCATACACCATCTACACACCATCTACACACCATCCATACACCACCCATACACCACCCATACACCATCCATACACCATCTACACACCATCCATACACCATCTATACAACTTCCAACATCGCCTGGTAGCAGCGCCCACAAATGACTGGACAGTGTGACCATGCTGCCAGAGGCACGTCCTGCGTGCCAGCAACAGAGTGAGAAAATCACATCCAAGTCTAGATTTGTAACAAATCTGAAGCTCACTGCATGAGGGTGAGGGGTGAGGGGTGAGGGGTGGGTGGGGGGTTGGCAGGTTGGGGGAGTAATGTCCATCTTTGCCAATAGCTCCAACCAGCCTTCTCTGGGGCATACAGTATATGCATTCCCTTGTGAACTTGTGTTAGTCTGCTATTTATCTTTACCCACAGTTAATGTTGTAATTTTAGTCAAGAATCAAAACAACTGGTGTTGTGATTCTGCAATGTAAATAAATAAACAAATTGTGATTTACTCATGCATTCTTTATCTTGTATTTTTAATTGATTTAGTAAACAAATGTAAACATTGCCATTTAATACAAACACATTTTCAACTTTTTACTGATTGACTGGTCACCTCATGAGTAAAATAACCCAAGCTGATCGATGATAAATAGGAAATCTAAAATGAATCAAATGAAATAAATTGAAGTTCTACAAACCGTATAATGACAGCCCTAAAGCCATCGATGTTATTCTACACCCAATCATCAGCTCACAAAGCTCCACAGTCACTGAGTTTGGTCACAAGAGATATCAAACTTGTAAGTCAATGAAAGGCTCCATCTCTTCCAATTCATGAACAAGTGAGCAGTGTGAAAAGCATCAAAGATTCAGATAGGAGCAGCCTTTCGGATGGCGCACGTGCAGCCGCGGATGACTCTAGCGCACACACCCACTTTGCATCTGCACCAAAAAGTCATGCATAAAAGAGTGCACTAACCTGTTGATGCAATACGGCTGTAAGATATGCATGGTGATCCTGTGCTACCACCACAAACAAACAAAAACAAGCTCTTTCAACCTCTCAGTGGGCACACGTTAGGCAGTGCCATCTCTGGTGTGTGATGTGAAGATGGTGGCGAGAGGAAAATGAGAGAGACGATGTCAGTGGTGAAGGCGTTGAGATGTAGTAGAGCTCGTCTCCCTGGTTTGCTTTGAGTCTCTGAAGCTGGCAACTACACTCCGCTGCCTTCACTCCCTCTCACACTCAGCCTTCGCCCCAGAGCCCGCCCCCTTCCCTTAGCTCTGCCCCACTCTGCAAAGCTCAACATAGCACAACAGCCTCTCACAGTCGCTTGTAAGTCTTTTTTTTTTTTTTAATTTACACTGTCCTTTCTCCTCCAACATCAACTGTGTATGTTTGTGTCGTCATGGCAGATCGGCCATACTTTATGAACAGTGCGTCTCATTTTTGATCAAAACTAAGAGTGAAAAATAACACCAGCTGCCATCAACCCAAATTCACTTAAGCTTTAATGCCAATTGCATAAGAGGCGCTGCGGCAGTCTTTCCAGCACTCTCCAGTGATGATTTGATTTCATTGATTATTGATACCTAGTTCAATGATTGTTACAGTCACAAAAAGCCTCTTTTGGGCCGATCCCAGAATCTTTCAGATCCTGACGATCATACGCATGAGACAATACAATAATTATCTTGATACAAGGGACTTTTAAACAGATACAATAAATTGTAAAATATTTCTAAATGATTAAAAATGGCTTTTGACCTCGTGACCAACACTACATTAAAAAGACAAAATAACATTGAAGATCCATCCATCCATCCATCTTCTACCCTTTAATCCATTTCTGGGTCAGGGGGGTGGCAGTCAGAGATGCCACCCAAGTCTCATAGCACCAGCCCCTCACTGACCCTCTGCAGGTGGTGAGTCCACAGGAGGACGGCTGCTCTCTGAGTGTGAACATAGCCTTGATCTTTCAGCGGGGGCTTTGGGCAAAGTGGGGTTAAGTGTCTTGCCCAAGGACACAACGACAGCAGTCATCAGTGGGAGTCGGTGGAGAAGGTGCAGAGGTGGGAATTGAACCCACGACCTTCTGGCCTTAAGGCCAATGCTCTACCAACTGAGCTACTGTCGCCCCAACATGTGATTTAGCCCAACATTGAAGATGAATTAATGAAATCAAAATAATAGAACATGTTTTACATGTATTTTTTAAATCTAGACTTTTTAATGTATCTTTTATATACACATAAAAAATTGACATGACTCAATAGAACCTGATCGACACATGTCTCTGATGTCTAGTTTCTATGACAACCATGGTGGATATTTTTCAATTCGGGTGGGTTCCTATTCATCTAACTTAAGATAGAAACAATGTATTTGGTTTAAATGTCATTGCAAAATGTACTCTCGTATAGGCTGTCTCTGTAAACACCATCACATACTGTATTGAACAGTTTCAGTTAATGTTTAGTGAGGGGTGGATCACATAAAAGAAAAATAAACAAAGTTAAATTAGATGTGTTTGGAGATTGGGGTTTTCTTTTTAGGTTGTGTTGTTTGTTGCAGTGGTCTCCTATAGTTCTCCAGTGCTACCAGAGATCACCACTTCTTCCAAATAGCTCCCAAATGATTTGGAAATGACAAATAATTTTGTCAATTTGAATACTTCTCATTTAAATGTCAACTATTGCAAATGCAAGTCCTGCTTCATTACCTCTGACCAGGAACTGTAAATGTGGTCTTAATAAAGGGGCCACTGAAAAGGAAACAGTTTCAATGTTGAATAATATCCAAACAATGTTTAAAGGCAACATATTTTAAAAAGTGATAAAGGTAAAGATACAATATTTGAACCCTGATTTAAGATTATATAAGATTATTCTTGTCTTTGAAAGTTGAAGAGAGGCAATTAGCTGCAGTGTGAGTCGCATCGTGCCCTGGGTTCAGCAGCCCAGATAATTTACAAACACACACACACACCAGGCAAAGAGAGGCCACATTAGGCAACAGGTAACAGGTAACGGGATAAATAAAAGTCTATATTTCAGAAAAGCGCATACAGAGGAATCATATTGACCAGTATGATAGAACATTAAAGGTCAGTAAATGAAAGTCACTTGACTTGAAGATCTGTGTGAGGAAGGACCAAACTCAAAACTGAGAAACACATTGTCTTCAATTACTGCAACTTTAACACATTAAAAATAAACATCACTACATTTTTGTCTGTAAAATTGGTAATTTAATTGAATAATGGACAAACAATGTAGGCAACAAATACTGCATCTGATCAAGACAAATGACCAATCCTGTGCATCATATTAGCATACAACTCTGTGTAGCTACTTTTCAAGAACTAAATGATTCCCAAATGTGGAAAACAGATGTCAACTCTTTACAGACCTCGACCTCTGCACTGTTATAAGCTGGCATGTCCGCTGTGTGTATATTCATTAGTGTAAATACTTATGTATGGGGTGACAGTGGCTCAGTTGGTAGAGCATTGGCTTTTGAGCCTGAAGATCTTGGGTTCGAGCCCACCATAAAACTTTCTCCACTGACTCCAACTGATGTCGTTGTGTCCTTAGCAAGACACTTAACCTCTGGGAACTACAGGTGCCACAGTGGGGCAGCTGCAGCAGTAAAATTCCTGGTGTGTTTTTAGGCAAGACACTTCTTGCCTAAGACACTTCCTGATTGCCTAGAAAGAGTCTGATGTGTGTGTGAATGCTTTGTGGTGGTCAGAGGGGCCGATGGCACGTACTGGTTGCCTCGCTTCTGTCAGTCTGCAATATCTACTATCTACAATAGTAGTTTATCACCACCCTGTATGGAGTGAATGAATAATGACATGTAAAGCGCCTTCGAGTGTCCAAAAAAGCGCTAAATAATACCGATGCATTATTATTATGTTCTTGTACAGAGCAGCTACTCTCAGAGCCACATTACTTTTCTCATTACAACTGTGGGATCAACCTCAGAAATCCTGATCGGAGAACCACAAAAATCAAACTCATATACTCATATACTCAGAATATAGCCCTATGTACACAGCAACGGAGCAAAGCAAGTCAGCTAAAGTTATAAGTTGTATCAGCATTGTATCAGACAATGTTATACAGTCTTAATAGTCCTCTGCATGTAGCAGTCACAGTAGAGATCAAACTGAGACACATGGGCAGCACCAAGAGCAATTTCTGAGCAGAAATAACCAAGCTGCAAATCTATACGGATAAGGAATGTTTGCAGGTTTTTACACTCTCAGAGTAGTGTCGAGCTGCGGACTGACCATGTCTCTGACACAGACATTGGAGGGAAGTCACATGCAAACAGAACAAAATGTAATTACTGAAAATTAATAAAAATTACTTGAGCAAACTCAAATGGACTTTCATGCACTTTAGTTTTACTTTCAGTTTGACAGGAAAATGGAATAAAAACAACAATTCTGCAGGCAGTTATCATTGAACGTTTTAAAGAGGTTTCACTCTTGGACCACCTTGACCACTCTTTTTTTGCAGCAGTTTATTGCAGTTGTCTACAGTCAAACATAATCTACGTCCTCTGGAGGTGTGTTGTTCAAGGGGCCAGCCCCCGTCACTAAAATGTAATATGTTCAAACCCATGCCCACGGGAGCCTAGGTCATCCTCTGCATTAGACCCATCCTCAAGCCGCTAGGACTTACGTCAGGAGCAATGGTCGTCGTAGTAACAGCGCCAGGGGACCCATCTCCAGATGTTGGTGCTCGACTTGGTTAAAACTACTGAAGCTGGAGGATTTACCTAGTGTGCATGTTTTTAGTCGTAGGGGAAGCCGGAGCACCTGGAGGAAACCTACACAGGCACGGGGAAAACATGCAAACAGAAAGACCCTGTTCCGACCGTGATTCGAACCTAGGACCATCTTGCTGAGTAGCCACAGTGCCACCCATTATTATGATTATTAATTCATTCTCGTTCCCATAATGCAGCAGAATAAGGTTGACCAAAGGCTGTATGGCGAGTGGTCTAAGTGAAGCTAGTTCTGTTGCATAGGGTTACAAGCTAACAACTCGCACAAACAGAACAGATCTCAATGTCCATGTGCAGAAATAAAAAACGATGAGGTGGTGTGTCAGCACAAGCTTTCGGCACACAGAAGCAAGAATTACTTTCTGGACCATGTCTTGATAAAACACGTAGGGAAATACACAACAAAAACAACAACAATAATAATAATAATAATATCCATCCATCCATCCATTTTCTTCCCCTTAATCCATTTCTGGGTCGGGGGTGGCAGTCAGAGCTGCACCCAGTACACAGAGCACCAGCCACTCACTGATCCTCCTGCAGGTGGTGAGTCCACAGGAGCTGAGATCTTTCAATGGGGGCTTCAGGCAAAGTGGGGTTAAGTGTCTTGCCCAAGGACACAGCGACAGCAGACATCAGTGGGAGTTGTGTAATAATAATAATAATAATAAACCACAATGCTAACAAACTTGATGGAATTCTTTTTTACCATTGTAAAGTTTAAGAATACAATTTTTAAAACTTTAAGAATAAAAATACATGCCTCCTTTATGAGGTCTGGTGCAGATAACGGACTAAGTGTATGAAGTTGTAACGCTGAAAGCCAGTAGTGTTTAAAGTCAGTGGGAAAAGCAATTTGCACAGAAATTGGGCCGAAGTGTCCGTAACCTAAAGCTGGATTTGGAGCGCTGAAATACATTGTGTGTTAGCTCTGACTCAAAGATCGGAGGGGGGAGGGTCAGGGTCATGAGGCAGCACTCAGTAGGACACGTGCTGTGACAGAAGTGCACACACACAAGCACACAAACACACACACACACACACATGCACTCATAGACCGCACACAACCACTAATTTGTTCTGTTTAATGTCTGACTCTGTAAAATGGCATAACGTATTATGAAGTCTAATCTGCACATTTTTATGATCAAGAACTTCTACTCAAGTGCACCCACGCTCTTGAGTCTATCTTGTTTCAATTGTAATTTATGACCAGAATAAACTGCAATGTTTTACTTCTTTGCAATTTAACATAAGCACGTTGTAAATCTGCGAGGCCCATCTGTCTCTCTGCCTGGCAGGCGGAAGTGTCACACTGTGATTGATACATCAGACAATTCAAAGTTTGGAAGTGACAGGTGAAATGTGGATCATTTAGCGTTAGGGTTACTGCTTTTCCTTCCTGATACATTATGGCACTAGTGAGTAGGTCTTCTTCATTTATACATTTCTATTTGGTGCAATTTCCATATATTGGTGATGACAGATCTGAGGTGCCAAAAAGGAAACAGACACAGGGAGAACATGCAACTCCAGATAAAGGCCCTGGAAAATCTCTGGATAACATCAGTGTTGCACACTCTCTCTCTTACCCTTTCTCCTCTCCCTCTGATGAGTTGCTGTCCTGCTTGTTGGACATTGGCTCGATGTGGTCTTGGTCTGGTCCAGTGGCCAGGTCCAGTGGCCAATCACAGGACTTCCACTTTGCCAGGATCTTTAGCATTCGCTAGCAGCACCTTGAATAGAGAGCCACCGGAGAATCTCAACAGAGACTGGCTGTGTGAAGCATGGAGGACGGGCCATTGCAGGAAGAAAGTACAAACTGCCAAAAAAGAGGGAAAAGGTATTAGGTACAGCAGAAAATCAAAGCAGTAAGGCACAAAACAAAATAAAACATGACAAATATTGGGTCAACCCATATTAAAATCAGGAATCAGGTTGAGAATCAGTCTGTGAACCTGAGGCGACGGAAGTGTACCTTCAGACAAAACACAGCCCTTGCATGTTCTAATTTTCTGAGCGCTCGATCATAATTGAGAAGTTGATTCATGGATCAGAAACTTCACATGTAACAGAGGCTTTAAGGAGGTTGTTACAAAGATTTGTTAAATCTCTATGGTCTAGTCACCCTCCCCTGCACACAGTTTTTGTCTTAGTAATTGAAGAAACAAGAGCTATTTTTAAGTGGGATGGGATAATGCAAACCAAATACTGTACATACATGTTTAGTATTTGCACAATTCTTACATATTACATCATTACAATGTCTGAACAACACAAATGAAAGTGGCAGCACCCTTTTGTCAACTCCACACAGGCACTGTAAGTAGCTTAGAATAAATTAGATTTGGAATTGGCCAACTGTTTCCCCGAGGTAGTGGCAAACTGGCAACAAAAGAAAACAAAACTATTGACAGGCTCATCTATTGAAGTTGCTGTGGGGGAAAAATAATTAAATGAGTAAAGGCCTAATCTGACTGAAAAAAAACTTAAAAAGGCAAAAATATCAATTCCTTCTGTTTATGACACCAAGTTTTGTACAATCAATCAAATAGATTATTACTTAAAATAGTGACCTCTGCTTGTACTTTAAAAAATATAAAACAGCAGTTTAACCAAATCTGAAAGAGTATGAATGTGGCTGTTTGGTTTAGTTTGCACACTGGTTATAGTGAGAGCGGTGGGCCAGAAGGGGGCAGCAGAGAGTCTACTGTAAGACTCATGCAGTGAGTGGGCATGACCTGAGCCGACCCATGAGGCTTTAACAGGCTGGCCTAATGTTTACCATTAGGAAGAATAAAAATAGACCCCACAGGATAAATAACTTACAGACAGGTAGAGATTAGTCATTTATCTTAATCCATGATATCGGGTGAAATATAGGGCAATAGCATAATATAACACAAAATAATACAATTATGCTGATGCTTTAAAAAAAAAAAATCGTTAACTATTTTTTTAGAATAACAGCGTTTCATGATGTTAATCTCCATTCAGATGTGCAGTAGATGCATGTTTAGGTAAATTCAAAATACAAAACAAACAAAGGTTGAAGTTTGCGTTCTTCCTGGTTTAATTAACTTTCCAATCCACACCTCTGTTGCCCTGTGGACAACCCCACAAGAGAAGAAGAAAATAATCTCTAAGTCTGCTCTCGGCACTATATTTTTTATAGTATATATTGTATTGTATATATTGTCATGCCCCACTACTGGGGGCTGAGTGTACCGTGGCACACACAGACTTCTTTAAGTACAAAATGGAGTATGAATTAAAGTATAATTACTCTGATGTGATCAGAGAGTGAGGGTTAAGGAAATATAAAAAGACAGATACTAAACAATCTGGATTTCAATACCCCTGGCAAACCAAACAAGAGCTTCAATTCAATTCAATTAAGAATAAATAAAGGTCTGATCAGAAAAGGCCAAATATAATGTACAATATGTACTTGTACTTGTATCTGGAGATGCATAAAACATTACATATGGTGGCTTAAAAACTCATACAGAAATCTAATAAACTATGTAGTGTGAGTACTACATCATCAAAGCATAGAAGTAGTACTAGCAGTGGATATGTTTCCTCTTTCACTTCTCAACACTTGTCGATAGATGGCATCAGAGGAGGGGAGATGCCAGAGCGAGGCAGTGTCCTCACCAGCAGCCACCCTGCACACTGCACATCGAACATTGTATTCACTGCTAATGAGAAAACAAGGTGGACACAGTTTGGACATGACAAGCTCCGGTAAAGCCCCTGCAGTGAGAAGGTGCCATCTCTGTGAGTGATTGGATGATTAGTGTCCCTGATGCCGCTGAATGTACACACAGCTCACTGTAGTCAGGCGCTTTAGCTGGCCGCCATCCAAGCTGATTAGAGCCTCGCCGCAATCAAAGATGAGCCGCTTCTCTCGCCTAAGCCTCAGCCTCGCCTCAGCCTATCTGCTGCAAATCACCTTTGTTGTTTTTTTTCTCACTATTTTATTGTGTAACACTGTGCGCTCGGATCAATAGGAAAAAAGCACGATCAACTGCTGTGAAAATGTAGAACCTTGTTATACAGAGTGCAGAGCAGTGATGAAAACTACACAGATACTGTAGGAAGCATTGGAAAAATAAGACAAAAAACAGCCTTAAAAAGGTAAAACAAGTACACTATGACAAGCAAAAGGTTAACTGTAACTGAACATGCCACATTTGTAAAGATAGTAAACTTTCACTGTGGTTTTCAAAAGTATTCATCCCTCCTCAGTTAATAAGTTGTGGAACTGAACCTTTTCCTACAATTACAGCTTCAAGTCTTTTGGTCTCTATAAGCCTGACACATTTAGGGACTGAATATGTATTCTATGTCTATGTCAACAGATTGTTTTAGATCATATCATGTATAGGTAACTTAATCATTTGAACAACTATTTATCAATTATTAGGCAACTTCAAAGACAATTGGCCACAAAGTCCACATCCCAATTGTCTTGTTTTAGATTGACAAGTATTATCTATCAATATTTCCATCTATTTTGAATTCAACATATGCAACACATTAAAACTCCGATCATTTTAAGTGTGAGATTTCAAAGCGCACATTCGATGCAGAACCCGAGCAGCTTTTCTTGCAGCTGCTTGTGGTTCACTGAGTTTATGCCAAACACGGCGGCCCTCAGTGTATGTACTGTCTGCATTCCACTGATGAATATCTAAGATGTCATAAAAGCGCCGCATCATATGGCATTTTAAGCTCAAAACTGAACAAACAAACACACACTCCAGATTTGTAAACCACAGACCAAGAAGGGTTGTGTTTGAGAAAATGATTATTAGTGTCTGACTGGAATCCTACCACTATAGTCCCCGTAGAATTCTACACATGCAAATGAGAGAAGATTAAATTCAACCTGGCAGTTTTTCAACACATTTGTGTGAATGTGGTTTGAAACCGCGGCACCTGCACACATGAGTGCAATATCATCCTGAACAGCAACGTCTACGGTTTTCTATCACCATGTTAGGAGAATGGCCAATATACAAATCACTGAGTATCAGTGATTTGAGTGTTCTTCCCCTTCTTAAAGGCATCCGTGTCCATACCACAAGAGAGCCTACAAGGCAAGCATCCTTACAATGGGAAACCATCCATCCATCCATTAATTCAGAAGGTAAAAATAAGTGCATATAGGAATTCAACATAAAAAAAGTCATTGTTTCTCCCCCTTAACTGAACTTATAATAACACAGAAAGATCCCTAATCCAATTAAGTGTAGATGCAGGACACAAACTGTGCCTATAGACCTGATCCTGGGTTCATCTCGCTATTCCTGTGGTTTTTCGCCGGCTAATGACCACAGTGTGCAAGTTGCCAAGAATGCGAGTTGGCTACGCTTGACCTTCCATTCGCTTCGTCTCCATGTTTTTGTGGATGTGAAAGAGTGACCCTCCTATACCACTCACTGCTATTCACTGCTTCACTCTCAGACTTACTCCCAGAAAATGTGCAGGATTTACTCTGTGTGAGGTTTCAGTTTGTGTGTTTGCAGTATTCTTGTATATTATGTTGAGTTCAATTCCAAAAACGTAATGAGCAGAGCAGAAAGGTCAGGGGTAAAGTTGTGGCGAAGTAAAAAGCAGCAATGTACAACCAAATCCTATTTGCAGTTCAACCGAAGTCATGTAAGATAAGATAAGGTACACTTTATTGATCTCACAATGGAGAAATTGACGTGTCACATTTGGCATAGATCAAATCACTCAGATTAGGCAAAAAAACAGGAAGCGCGCAAACATGTTAAAAGGTTAAAAATATAGGGGGCACCTTTTACCAACAACGAATGATAGGTGTCTCAAAACCAACACTGCTCATCACCCTCAGTGCACCATCGTCAGTGTCAAATGGGGGAGCATCATGCTGTGGAGCTGCTTTTCTTTGGAAAATGGATGGAGCCAAAAGCAAGGCATTTTTGGAAGAAAACTTGATGGATTGGAGTCCATAAAATACTTGAAGCTGGGGAATGAAATGTAAGTTCTAGCAGGGCAATCCCCCAAAGCCTGAGCTACCAAGGAATGTATAAAAAAGGTACGTGTACAGTACAAGACTAACCCTAATCCTGAAAATCTGTAGAAAGACCTGGAAACTGCTGTCCACAAACATTCTCCATTTAATCTGACAGTTTCAGTGCCTCGATGGGCAACGCTGTTAAAGCTGCACTAACTGACTTTGGGATTTTGAAGCTGTGGACTCGCTGGCCTCTCTCTTTCTGCTCCCCTCCCCGCACCCACGAAGCTATCGCCCCCCACACACACTCACTGTTGGGACGGAGCTAGCGTCTCCCAGTATGGATAATACATGAATATGGATTTACACGTGGATGGCGTGACCATAAAACGATAGAACCGGGAAGCGCGGAGGAATGGGACTTTCTTTTGGATGGCTGTTTCGCTAAGTAAGCAGTAACCGGTGATGAAGACACGAAGCTTCAGGTTAGCTCCTCGGCTTGTTCTGCTAACTCAGCTGTCAATGCTAACAGAGACCTGTAGATTTCTCACGAAAGTGGGGGCCAGTGGTCCGTTGTGATTGGTCACAATCTGCGACCCGAAACACATTCTCTTCCTTGTTTCATCAAAACTCGATCTAAAATATAATGTCACGCCAGCACAAATCTGCGCTAATTATTCTTCAAAAGGACGTATATCCCAATGCACTACATGAACATGGAAAGCATTTTTGTAATGAATACCAAAATAAAGTCAGTTAGTGCAGCTTTAAGTCCAGTTTTTCTGCTGTGAAAATTGGGTTCCATGAATAATTAACTCATGTGGTGTGAG